CTTTATGCCAGCTGATGGGTGCATCGATGGACCCAGCCTTTCAGACCTACTGATTTTCCCAATTTTCCTGATTTTCCTCTCCGCCGCTAAAGTGCGATTTACTTTCCGTGTGCGTTGCAATTGCATTCAGTAAAATGGAACAAACCTGCCAAAATCTGCCCGGAGAGATGCCCTGAGAGTGAGCTGCACCTGATCCCGGAGAGCAAGTCCCCCCTGAGGTGCATCTCCCTCCTTAGAGGCCACCAGGGAGGACACCTATGAAGGTGCTCCATCCCAGGCAGAGCCTTGGCTGCTCTTCCCAATGGAAACACCTGGGGAGGAGGGGGGGGTTAGCCTACAATCTGCCCACCCCAGCTTCCCTCAGCCAATTAATACTGGTATTAATAGCCCACCCTGACATCTGCCACCAGCCCAGGTGGCTGTGGGTGGCAAACCCCCAAAGTGTGGCCAGGGCTGGCCAACAAGGGCCCTGGGTCCTCTCTCTCCCCAAAACCCGTGAGTGCTTTGAGCATCCTCAGCATCGCCTGGTACGAGCTGGCCCTCGACCTCACAGCCAGGGTTTCTCCCAGCTGTTACTTCTGTGCCCACAACCTCTGTGAACCCCTGAGTCCTGTTAGCAGGTGGCTGGTGCTAGAGCGGAGCCCAGAAAGGCGTTTTCCATGCACCTGGATTGGCTGGTGATCATAGAACCATAGAACGGTTTGGGTTGGAAGGGACCGTAAAGCCCGCCCAGCTCCAACCCCCTGCCATGGGCAGGGGCACCTTCCACTAGACCAGGTTGCTCAAAGGAACCCTCCCAGGGAGGGGGCAGCCACAGCTTCTCTGGGCAACCTCTGCCACTGCCTCACCACCCTCACCGGGAAGGATTTCTTCCTAATGTCTAATCTAAATCTTCTCTCTTCCAGTTTAAAGCCATTGCCCCCTGTCCTATCACAGCAGACCCTACTAAAATCTCTGTCCCCATCTTTCTTACAAGCCCTCTTTAAGTATTGAAAGGCTGCTCTAAGGTCTCACCGGAGCCTTCTCTTCTCCAGGCTGAACAACCCCAACTCTCTGAGCCTGTCCTCACAGCAGAGGTGCTCCAGCCCTCGGATCATCTCTGTGGCCCTCTCTGGACTCACTCCAACAGGTCCCTGTCCTTCTGGTGCTGAGGACCCCAGAGCTGAAGGCAGGACTGCAGGGGGGTCTCACCAGAGCAGAGCAGAGGGGCAGAATCTCCTCCCTCGACCTGCTGGTCACGCTGCTTGGGATGCAGCCCAGGTCGGCTTTTCGATGAGCTAATGATTTACAGGGGGCCTGACAGTGCCACAAAGCACAGACAAAACTAATTCCCTTCATTTGGCCCCATACAATTGCACTTGTAAGTGCTTATTGCGGTGACAGGCAACACTGGGAAAGCGTAATTTTCTTATACCGGGGAAAAAAAATATAGGGAAGGAAGAAGGTCAAAAGAAGGTTAGCACAGAGCCGCTCGGCACGGGAGGCGGTGAGGCCCTGGGAAGCCGAGCCAGGAAGATGGGCTGGACCCCGAGCTGCGGTGATGCCGGGCCAGCCAAAACTGCCAGCAAGGCAAAGTGACCCACTCATGAGGAGCCAGGAGGTCAGGCAGCCTAACTCTGCCCTGAACACCACCTCACCAGCCGGGCTAATTAATTACCCTGCCTTACACCAGGAGAGGTGGAAGGTGATACCTGCTCGATGGCTTTACTAGTAACTGAACATCACGGGCATAATGCAGGGCAACAGAGCAGGTTACTTGAGTGTGACAGGGAATATGCAAAAAGCAAAACCATGCGTGCTCAGCATATTTAATTTTGGATCTACGCTTGTTTCTGCTTTACCAAACTTTTTCCCTCTAAGGGTAAAAAAGATGCTCAGATGCTCAAACCCCTGGGGAGGCAACACGCACCCCCTTTGCAAAGCGATCCCGAGGGCTCCCAGGGAGCACACGCAACCCGCGTGCAGAAAACCCCAAATCCCACCGAGCCGATGGCTTTGCAGGGCTTTTCACAGTCCCTGGGTACCAGCTGTTTTCCCGCGGCTTGCCCTCCTCGCCGACTGGTTTCCCTGGCCCTGGCACGCATCCATCCATCCATCCATCCATCCCCACAGCCGGGGGAGGAAAGGCATCTGGCTGGAAGTTTCCCGGGGTTCCACCTGGAGAAGCAATCAAATGACTTTTATGGCTGCTCCTCTCCTGCCCAGAATATTAAAGCAGGATTTGCCCACTGGAGCCTGCAAAAGGGCAGGATGAAAACGCGGGTCCACATCTGTACTTTTACGAGCTGTCACCGGCGCAGCCCATTTCTAAAAAAAACCACATTTACGCAGCTAAACTCTGGGAGAGCGGCAGGGAGAGGAAGGCTGGATAACCCAAAAGATTAATTTACTGAGCTGTAGCATGGCGTGGGCACCCGGCACGTGAATCGCAGGCGCACAAAAATACCCACGGCCCAGCTCTCCATCCGTCTCTATCCCCCAAGCACAAACATTTCGGACGGCTCCCTTTTATCCCACCAAGGGCCATCGCGTCCACCCTTCCCCATCAGTTCGCGGGCTGGCAGAGCCCGAGACAAAAGCGAGGAGCCGGTGAGCGGTTCTGCTTTCGTGGGCAAATCTGCAGAAAAGGGCATGTCGTCCAATTTGTTCGGGAAACAATAGCAATGTTTGACATGTCATCAGGATTGATGGAGCAGAAATTTACATGGGAGAATTCAGTTTTAAACAGCTCCACGGAGCTTCGCCGGTAATGGTTTCGACATTCATCATCCGCCGAGCCTCACTCGATGACTCCTTAAACTGCCTGAGATTAACTCTACTCACAGCAGCTTCAGGGAGCAGCGGCAGGAGGAGCGAGGAAGGGCTTAAAGAGCCAAGAAGAGCTTTTCGGAGCGGCGTGGAGCCCCCGGAATGGCAGTTCTCCCCCCCAAATCTGTTGGAGAAGGATGAGCAGCTGGAGGTTGGTTGCAGGGGTGACCAAAGCATGTTGGAAGGACGACTCGTTGCTGCCTGAATGAGACGGGCTGCCATGTCCTGCCTGCCTGAAGATGACTCCGCTGGCACCAAGGGAGCCCAATTCTTCCCACCTTTCCATCTGTGCCGGGCTGTCGGAGCGGGCCCCAGCTCGGTTTGTTCTCGTTCACCCTCTTTGTTTTCCCTCCCCTACCTCGCATGCAGAAATCGGGAAATAAAAATTGATGGGGAGCAAATTGCTTTGGCCAGAAGCTCTCTGCTTAAAAGAGTCGTAGCAGGAAAGCAATTACAGAACGTCAAAAACCTGTCAGGGTACCGGAGTGACCGGTAAGTCTGGTCCCACCGCTGCCCGCCTGCTCCCTTGGCCACCCCGTTGGGCTGCAGGGAGACCCTGGCACTGCCGCTCCAGCAAGGCACCTGGGGCTTGGCCCACGGGGAAAAAGCAAACGGAAGGAGGATTTCCATCTGCTTCCTATTTTTTTTCCAGTTTTCTAGAAAAACGAGGTAGATGCGGTCGCTCCTTGGAGCAGACTGGGCAGCCCCGAGCTGTGCAGACCGTGGTACGAGTAACCCAGGGTGGGGAGCCGTGCCCTGTCAGCATCCCCATTTTTGGAGCCACCTAAACCTGCGTGTGTTAAACAGCAAGCATCCCTTCTTAAATGCAACCTGCTGCAATCTTCATCTCCCGGGGGAATAACAGCTAACCTCTGGTATCCACTCGGATTGGGGCTTGATTTGTGATTTGGGGGAGAGAAACGTGAAGGGCCGAGAGCTTCCATGAGAAGCCGGGCTGCAAAACCGGATCGAGAAAACCAACGGAAAACCTACTTAAAGTCACTACGCGCTTCCCAGACGGAAAGCAGCTTTTTTGCCAGCATCGCCTGCCCCGACCATGCTCTTTTCCAGGTCTTTAAAGAGCAGCTGCCTGGTGGGAGGTGGCAATCAGGCACCGGCAGAGCCGGCGGCCGGCATTGCCGCACCGGAGCCCAGTGGCATGATTAGCCGGGAAAGAGGGAGGTGGGAGCAGGGAAGCGGGGTGATGCTGGGGTACCGCTGCCGCCATCCCCAGCAGCTCCAGACTAACGCCAAGCTGGGCGCTCAATCACCGCTAACGACCCCAGAGGGCTGTGCCGAACCTGGTTGGGGGGGGGCGGAAAAATAGGCAATCAACCCCCCTGGGAATTGCAGAGCTTTTCCCCACCTCTTCTGCCAGCCACCAAGGAAAACAACAGCCTCCTTGATTGTGTTTTGTAACAGCGTTCCCTGTAACATCAGCTTCTTGGAAGTGAGGTTTAACACTTGCCTGGGCAGCCTTCATTTAGCGGGGACTAATTTACTGTAGCCGGGCTGTTGCGATGCCTGGAGACCGGGCTTTAAAATGCAAGCTGACAGAAGACAACCCTTGAGCAAAAGAAGCA